CAGTCACAGTAAACTCCCAAAGGCTTTTTAAGTGTATTTCGTTTTTAGAACATGCAATAATTACACAAATACAAAAATATTGAAAAGGATCCCCCCGCCGGAAAAAGACAAGTATTGCAGTTATTCAGTTCATGCATGCGCAGGACAGATCGGGTAGTGACATGGACTAGCCCGGAAGCCCGTCTGCAGCGGCCCTTTCTCTGCATAGCCGTGTGTGAAGCACCGCTGGCTCTGATGGAGGTTTGATTGTTTATTTGGCAAAATGTTCATTTGATTTGTGTTTATCTGACTGTGTTCTTTATTATTCCCCCAATAAATGAAAAGCTAAGAATTGATTATTATCTAGAGATTATTAATAACAGGAGGTGAAATGCAGCTCCAGACGAGCTTTGAATGTTGTGATGTCATCAGTACGCTTCTGTTCCAGTTGACCCAGATTTATTCTGCGTGCTCCTGTTCTCCCCGAGTCCAGACTTTCCTGTGTTCTTCTTGAGAACATACTTGGCGAGAACACGAGTCCGTACGCGCGTTCTTGTGAATTGAGAAATGGCCAGAGTTTTCGCTTCAAGGCAGGCTCTCCTGTTTTGTCGATTATCTAGGATCTGAAAACGATCCAGCATCCTTTGGTAAACAGTATGTAATCTTAATTTTAATGAAAAGGACAATCTGATAGGACTCTGTCCTTTTCTCCAGTGCCTCAGACTTTCACAGAAACCCTGGAGAAGTACACCAGGCAGGGCTTCAGGGTGATTGCTTTGGCACATCGACAGCTGGAGTCCAAACTCTCCTGGCACAAAGTCCAGACCCTCAGCAGGTACGTCACTAATCGCAGATTATACGGTTCATAGTCCATGTGGCCGCTCCCACTGCATCTAACACCGCCTTAAATCCCGGCGTTAATGTTTTACATCAAATGTTCTCCGTTTCTCCTTCAAGAAAAAATGAAGTCTTCAGATCTCTGAAATTATCGAGTCAATTTTGTTTCATTATTGCAAAAAACATGTTTGGTAAATGGAGGTTTGGGGAAAAAATGCAATCTAGGAAGGACATTATAGATAAAGTTCTTAAACAGAAAAGGGTTTTAAGAGTAACTTTGCTATTTTGTTTTCTTATATATTTTCCGAAAATATTTTATATATAGCTTTTTTTATTGCATTTTTCTCCTAAATGTTGTTTTTCAGATTAAAATTGTACTTTTCAAATTCTGTTCCAGATCACGTTCACTTTCCTCTGGAATGAGGAACAAAGACGCATTCCTATTGGTCTGTTGGACGTTAGCGATAACATTCTGTAATTTGTAAAACACGACCTGAAAAAGAGAAATTTGGGTAAATAAGTAAAAAGTTTAGTAAAAAGCTCAGGCACTCTCAGAACCAGTGGCGGCTGGTGGAGTTTTCTCCAGGGGGGGCTATAACATCAAAATAGACGTATACCAAAATCTATTTAAACGTATACTAAGTTATCACACCAGTGTATTTATATGAATGCCAACAACTACAAACATTATAACAACATAATTTCATGTCCAAGTTTACTTTTTGTACATAAATGTTGCCCTTTTGATGCTTTGTGAAGGTAAATCTGTGTTTTAGATGGTCCTGTAGTCCAGAAAAAGGAGACTATATTCTATTATTTTCCAAGTGAATCCCAGATTGTTCATTCTTCTTTGCCTTATATAAAAAGTGCTTTAAATCAGTCCTAGCTGTCTTTATCCAAGCTGGATCAGATCCTGACGTTTGAAAAAGGAGGCAGAGAAAGCAGGATAAAGCCTTAGCCTCACTGCATGCAGTTAGCCTAGCCTGGTAGCTAAATAATTGTACTTCTACTATTCTACTACTCTGAGTCCTTCCCGGATGACTGAGCTCCTCCCCTTATCTCTAAGGGAGAGCCCAGACGCACTACGGAGAAAACTTATTTCAGCCGCTTGTATCCGGGATCTCGTTCTTTCAGTCATGACCCAAAGCTCGTGTCCATAAATGAGGGTAGGAATGTAGATCGACCGGTAAATCCAGAGCTTTGGTTTTTGGCTCAGCTCTCTCTTCACCACAACAGAGCGGTACAGCGCCCGATTCAGAGCAGACGCCGCACCAATCCGCCTATCGATCTCCCGCTCCATCTTCCCTTCATTTGTGAACAAGACCCCAAGATACTTAAACTCCTCCACTAGGGGCAGTACATCCTCCCCAACCCTTAGAAGGCACTCTACCCTTTTCCGGCTCAAGACCATGGTCTCGGATTTGGAGGCACTGATCCTCATATCGGCCACTTCACACTTGGCTACAAACCCATCCAGTGAGAGCTGTAGATCACGCGCTGATGAAGCCAATAGAACCACATCTATAATAACAGAGACTTCGTAACAGTGACGCCTTAGGATTGCATCTCTGTTACGAATAACAGAGACGCAATCCTAAGGCCACCAAAACAGCCCCCCTCAACACCTTGGCTGCTCCTAGAAGTTCTGTCCATAAAAGTTGTGAACAGAATCGGTGACAAAGGGCAACCTTGGCGGAGTTCAACCCTCACCAGAAACGAGTCTGACTTACTGCCGGCAATGCGGACCAGGCTCTGACACCGGTCATACAGAGACCCAACAGCCCCTATTAAAGGTCCTGATACTCAATACTCCCGGAGTACCCCCCACAGGACCCCCCGAGGGACCCGTTCGAATGACTTCTCCAGATCCATAAAACACATGTAGACTGGTTTGGCAAACTCGCATGCACCCTCCAGAATCCTGCTGATGGTGTAGAGCTGATCCAGCGTTCCATGGCCAGGACGAAAACCACACTGCTCCTCCTGAATCTGAGATTCGACTATCGGACGGACCCTCCTTTCCAGAACCCCGGAATAGACCTTACCAGGGAGGCTTAAGAGTGTGATTCCTCTGTAGTTGGAACACACCCTTCAAGTCCCCTATTTTAAATAGAGGGACCACCCCGGTCTGCCAATCCAGGGGAACTGCCCCTGATTTCCACACAATGTTACAGAACCGCCTTAACCGACACAGCCCCACAACATCCAGAGCCCTAAGGTACTCAGGGCGAATCTCATCCACCCCTGGAGCCCTGCCACTGAGGAGCTTTTTAACCCCTCAGTGACCTCAGTACCAAAGATGGGAGAACAAGAGCCAGAGCACCCAGACTCTGCTTCCTCAATGGAAGACGTGTTTGTGGGATTAAGGAGGTCTTCAAAGTACTCCACCACCCGAGACACCGGATTGTGGACCAGAATCGCTTCGAAGCCATACGGAAGTCTTTCTCCATGGCCTCTCCGAAATCTTCCAAAGCCCGAGTTTTTGCCTCAGCGACCGGCCGAGCCACCCGCCACTTTGACTGCCGGTACATATCAGCTGCTTCTGGAGTCCCACAGGTCAATAAAGCCTGATAGGACTCCTTCTTCAGCTTGACAGCTTCTGTCACCGCTGATGTCCACCAGCGTGCTTGAGGGTTGCTGCCCCAACATGCACCGACAACCCTGTAGCCACAGCTCCGACTAGCTGCCTCAACAATAGAGGCACGGAACATGGTCCACTCAGATTCAATGTCCCCCACCTACCTCGGAACGTGTTCAAAGCTCTGCTGGAGATGCCGGAGTTTTTTTTTCTGGATTGCATATTTTTCAAATGGGCTCAACACGCTCCAAAAAAGTGTTTATGCTGTTTAACCTTTTGTCATAACCTAAAACTTTATCTCGCTGTTCATAAGGCTCTGTCCTTCCAGGAACCTGATAGAGGACAACATGGATTTCCTGGGTTTGATCATCATGCAGAACAAAATCAAACAGGAGACGGCTGGCGTTCTGGCAGAGCTACACAGGGCTAGCATCCGCACTCTGATGGTCACAGGTAGCCCAGCCCAAAGGCATCCCTTCCTTAGATACAGGTGCACCAGTTGCTGACCCATCGCTGTCTGCTCCATCTATCAGGAGACAACATGCTTACGGCCATTTCTGTGGCCCGAGACTGCGGAATGGTCCGTCCGCAGGAGACCGTCATCATCGCCGACGCTGAGCCTCCAAAAGACTCTCACCCTGCCGCCATTACGTGGCATTATGTGGACAGCCCCGCTCAGAGAGGCGGGGCCGATCAGGTGAGCCGGAGGGCTTCACAGGGTGATGATGAGGGATCCATGATGAAGGTCGTTTCCTCTGTTTTGGATAGGACCCATATAATCTGAGACTGCTTTGATCCAGTTGAACTTTCAGAGTTAGCAAAACTATTGTCTTCATCTAAGCCTTCAACTTGGATATTAGATCCAGTTCCAACCAGGTTATTTAAGGAGGTATTCCCTTTGATATCCTCCTCCATTTTAGATGTGATTAATTTATCTGTGTTACAGGGATATGTAGCAAAGGCTTTTAAGGTAGCTGTATTAAAACTTTGCTTAAGAAACCTTCTCTTGACCCAAATAACTTGGTCAATTATAGACCTATTTCCAATCTTCCTTTCTTATCTAACATTCTGGAGAAAGTAGTT